TTCTCTGGAGAAATTGGGCAATGAGCAATGTTGGTCAATAATTAAACATATAGCATTAGAAGGAAGGGATGATCAGAATTTGGAGAAAATTGGGAGAGAAATTGCAGAGAAGTGTAAGGGCTTACCGCTTGCTGCCAAAACTCTAGGAAGCCTTTTAAAGTCTAAGAGAAGCAAAAGAGAGTGGCAAAGCGTCTTGAATAGTGAAATATGGAAATTAGAATTGGCACAAAAGGATATTTTTGCTCCTTTGTTGCTGAGTTATTATGATTTGCCCCCTCCAGTAAAGCTGTGCTTCGTGTGTTGCGTTCTTTTTCCCAAAGATCACCACATTTTTCTTCACATACTAATTGCACAATGGATGGCGATGGGTTATTTAGGGTCGGATGGTAATGCAGATTTGGAGTCAAAAGGGGAAGAGTACTTTCGCATCTTAGTAGACCGCTCTTTCTTTCAAGATCTTGAAATGCATAATGGAAAGATTTATTATTGTAAGATGCATGACATAGTACATGATTTTGCTCAGTATTTGGCGGAGAATGAGTTTACGATCAAAGAGATCAACTCAGACCATTTGACTATAGATGGGTCAAAGAATCGTCACTTGACAGTGATGATTGATAAAGGGATCCCTTTTCCTACATCTATTTCTGGTGCAGAAAAATTGCGAGCCCTTATAACTTTCACTGGAGAGGGTGCACTGACTTATGAGGCCTTGCGTGGCTTGTTTAATCATTGCAGACGCTTAAGGGTATTGAGTTTTGGTTGGCCTGATAGAACTGATAATTTATGCAAAGAACTTCCCGAAGGAATAGGGAAATTGATACACTTGAGATTCCTTCACTTGGGTTCTAATCAAAAATTAGAAAGGCTGCCTGAAGCACTCTGCAACGTACTTAATTTGGAGTTTTTGGATTTGTGGTGCTGCGAAAATCTCAAGCAGTTGCCAGATTCAATAGGAAAATTAATCAACTTGAGGTATCTTTGTACTGTTGGTTGCTCTGCTCTCACTCAATACCCAAAAGGCGTTCAGAAATTGGCTTCTCTTAGACATCTAACTGGGCTCATTGCCAGAGCTGATCGTAATGATGCTAAAGAATTTTGCCTTGCCGATCTTGGAAACTTGAAGCACCTCCATCTACTGTATTTGAAAGTAGTAGGGAATTCAATCGATATGGAGCAGGCTAGAAAAGCTCAACTTCAGGACACCCAGTGGTTGTGTATATTTTTGGCTGGCAGTATTCAGAGAGCAGACATAATTGAAGCCTTGGACCCACATCGAAACATACCACATTTAGGGTTCTCCGGCCACTACGGGTTCGATTAGCGCCCAGCATCCTAATGAATACAAAAGGTAATCCATTTATCCCATAAAAATGTTATTTTTTCAGTTTTCCTAATGAGAAATCATCCTATATATGTGCTCTTCAAATTGATATTTTTCTTCAAACATTGCTGATTTCTAATTAAGCTTCCTCATACTAACCAAATGTGGACTTTGCTTTGCAATTGACTGCTTCTCTGTGGGATGCAGCTTACTTTCCCAAGGTAATGTTTTATATCATATAGAGCAGTAATGCTTTCATTTTTCTAATTTAAAAAGTATTGTGTTGTTTAAAATGTATAATTTAAACTATTAAATAAATGATAAGTTTTTTAATATTAAAGATATTTTTTATCTAATAGTTTCTATTTTATAATTTTATACAATTCAAATTATAAGGGAATTTTTGTAATTATTGCTATAAAAATAAATATACTTACGGAAGGACCACATGTATATTTTGTAGGAAGTGGACGTGCTTGTGGCAAGGAGAGATTTCGAATGTTGAGTGATGGGCTTTCTTCTATTGTTGGTAAAAAAGGAAGCTGTTTCTATCTACGAAGGTTGTTTTAATTTCCAGTTATTTTGTATTAGGAAGGTTGTGTTAACTTCCACTTATTTTGTATTAGGAATATTATGTACAAGAACTATCAATTATGGGCTCGAAACTTATCCTGCGTGCCACTCTTATTTTCCATATTTGGTGTGAGATTTCAGAATTGGGATTTTTTATTTTTTGATCAACTTCTTTTTGTCGTTGTTTTTCAAAAATTTTTAAAAAACTTTCATTTTTAATCATGACATAACAATAAATTAAAAAAAAATTAAATTTTCAATTAATTTATTCTCAACAATATTAATTAACAATAAACATTTTTATTTCTAAAGAAATAAAATTAACATTTTTTTTATGCCTTTTTCTCAACAATTGTGTGCAAAGATTCTGTGTGTTCTCCACCGCCACAATCCACAGAGGTCGAATACAGAGCGGCGTGTCACAAACCGCGAGCTCGGACGCCCAAGGGAAGGGTCCCAGCGCCAGGGTCACGGTGCAACGTCGCGGGC